GTTCTTCATCGAATCATGAGGTACTCGTAAAACCTGCAAAATATTTCTCTTTCATAGTCACCAAACTGTTGTACTCTATTTATAAGCTCGTCGAAATGATTTACTTTCGTTACTTTTACAATAGATAATCACATTAAAATGTTTCGCCGACGTACGTAATTGAGACACCTGAATGAAGACACCAAATTGAGACACCTGTCTGGAGACACCTAATTGAGAGACTTAATCGAGACGCTTACTGGCACCGCCTAATTTAGACATCTAACTCGAGACAACTAATTGAGACACCTAACCGGAGACAGCTAATTGCGACACCTAACCGGAGACACCTATATCAGGGAACGTCGGTTCGAAATTATATTTAGGGGGTAAGCAAATCAAATTCAAGTAGGCAGGCTGCAAGGGAGTATAATTGACAATAGTACAAAGTGAATATAAATAGGTAAGTTGATATGAATGGATACTTGAATATAAATAGACAAGTTGATTTGAATGGATAAGCGAATATAAATAGACAAGTTGATTTGAATGGATAAGAGAATATAAATTAGTATGTGAACTCGTGGGACAAAGTTCAGTCGTAACGATCTGACCTGCTCAAGAAACAAGCCAAAATTAATATCGATGCAATTATATTGATTCGTCTTCAGTTAGTTCAAATTTTTCAAGCATAAATGCCAACATCCATAGTTTTATCCTAAGCTACACAAATAAACAAATATTGCCCGACGCTTATACGCTCACCTGCTCAGTGTGGGAGAATAGGGTCGACAATTTTATTCAGGATAGCCAGCACTGAGCAAAGTGACGGTATTGAAGAAATAGTCTATTACAGTAATGTGGATGGACCCCTCACAACCTAATTAAGATACCTGACTGGAGACACCTAATTAAAACACCTGCCCGCACGGTAGAAAACTACGGCTAATTTCAAACGAGGCTCGAGTATGAAAACACACCAACCACCTCCCAATTTTCCAGAGCACCACAACTTTCTTTAAATGTAACGTCGTTTTAACCTCCAGACTGTTATCTCCGAATAGGTTGGTGCCAACGATGGTGTTGGTGGTGATGTGGTGCGCGGGACCGTCCCCACGGTTTGTGAGTGGTCCCTACACCCAGATGTTCGAGCAAGATTACGTGGAGCCTTGCAGGGCCAACTGGTGGGTCGACCTAACCCTCTTCTCCAACATCATCTTCAGGGTCATGGGCGAGAAGGCTGACCTCGACCCCAACTATGGGCCTGTAGACTCGGTAATACTTTATTTTCTGTGTTGACTAATGCAAAATCAGTTTCCTAGTTATTACCATTGATAATTATAATAATCTTTTTTATAAATATTTGTTTAGGCTTCGATCTTCCTCACGATCTTTGATAATCGTTCGCGTTGTTAATGGTCATTTCAGCGTAAGCATAATTTTTAGACAGCTCCCATGATGCTTCCTTTGACTCTTCTTCTGATGAAACTTCTTATTGAGAACTCTTCCGAAAGACTGAACGTTTCTCCAGATTTACATAGAATTTAAATCGTAAACACTCACAAAATTTTGTGGCACAGTGTCTCTCGCACAGCTGGTACCTAGCAGTGGACTTCCAGCTTTACCTCGTAGCTCCTTTTCTGCTGCTGCCTCTCAAGTACCACTCAAGGGAGTATGGTACGCAGACTTTTTTATATATGAGTATAGAATAATGTAATAATAGATTAAAGTCATGAACATCCTAGTGAAGGCACATTTTTTGTTCCTAAATTCAGACGGAAGTTTAATGTGGGAAATATTGCGCGCCGCAAATTGCACGGCGTCCGTAGTTCATTATAATGTCAGTGTGTAAATTCCCAGTTTTGAATAATCTACGGAGTTTGAAACCAGCATTAGGATTACTTCTAGAATCGGAAAAAATCTCGTAATTCGTCACTTATCTAATGTCTAGCTACATTTACAACCATCCATCGTAATAGTTCCTTCATTACCTCACATTATTGATATATGCTGTTATGATTGATGTCAGGTGTGATGTACCTGTCAGTGCTGACGCTGGTAAGCTGTATCGTCCCCGGCGCCATCGTCTTAGGACAGGACCTACTCCCAGCCATGGTCGTCACTCTCGAGTATGTCGTCCTAGGCAGCGCCGCTCATTTTATGAAATAAATACAATAATAAATAAATATTCCAGATTTTATTTCATGGACGAAATTAAAACCATGTATACTAATATTAATGCTAATACAAATTTTATTAACATATAAATAATGTATTACTACAATCAAATAACAAGACGAAATTAAAACTATCTTGTATAATGAAATCGTATAATTTATCATTAGCGGAATTTTTACTAGGGTTTTAAAATCTCAGTCATAATTAAGTCTTTTGTGGACTTGAAGACGATGAGGGAAATCTTACAAGAAGGAATTGGCGTTACAAAAATAGCGGTAATTTATTATTGCAGTTGAGTTAGCCTCATATCAGGTGGCCATTTGAAACTTAGTGCAGGTTGAGTAATCCGATAAAAACGCCATACAATCAATATACCAGTGCACCGCATTGAATTTGATTATATGATTTATTAATATCAAAAATTATTAAATTTTGTGAGAAATAATAGCTTAATAATTTTATTCATTCTGTAGCCCTATCATGAGTTTGGGTTACAGAATTAGTGACAGTTTTTAACATCTCTAGGGACTCGAGAACAACTTTCTCGCGTACCATGATATTAAAGGCTATATATTAATTTCACTACTTGTCTTCACAATTATCTAACTCTTGCACACCCCAGTTCTGCCGCAGTTATAGACTACAGTCGCGCCGTATACATGATGCCCTACACACGTGCCTCTCCCTACTTCATTGGGGGCATCTGTGGCTTGCTCCTACTACAGGAGTCGCAGGACTCTCCGGTGAGACCCTGGAGTCATAAGGCGGAGATCTTCAAGCACTAAGGTACTTATAATTAATTAAATGAGTGATAAACAGCCCGCTGGTTGGCCTAAGTGGGAGTTCTTTGAGTATCGGTATGATTGTTCAGAAAATATTTAGGAAATGTTAGGGATGAGAATTGCCGTTTTTTACAGCGTTTGGTGAACGTCCGAAATGTCATGACAGTCATAAAATTTATATCGTGAAGTCTACCTCGTTTAAAAAATTTATCTTATCTAGAAGTCAAATATCCTTGGACATTCGTGCAAAATATTGAACAGTTTCTTTAGCAAAATAATCTATCCTCAAATAAATCTCTGTGTTGCTTCATTCTCCATGATAATGAATGATAAAATATTAAATGTTTTCTAGTCACCGTCCAATCTCAAAACCATGCTTTCTTGTATCCCTAAAATTAAACATAATTCACTGAAATTAGCTACTGAAAAATATTGATGCAGTTCCAGTTAATTCTTCACTGAAAATCTCAATTACTAAACTTTCTATATTTTCTCCAGATGAGCGGAACTGCGCAGTCTCCTGCTTGGCTTCGCTTTTTGTTCCGGAAGGTGCTAATTCTGCTTAAATTAGAATGAAAACTCTTTTTGTCGCTCACATCTAACCCAGGCTGCTAAGGCATTTCTATGCTACTCCTCCTTCACATGCTATTAAATAGGAGAATTGAAAATATAATTTGAAATTTATTACGAAAAAATTCCACAATTGGTTTTTATCACGAAAACAATTGCACAATTGTCTATATGCACAAAATGGAAGATAAAAAAGATATATAATCTTAAGATCCTTGTCGTTCAGTGACACAAGCACATGAATAAATATTTATCAGGACCATAAAGCAAACTATACTAAACAGGAGGTACGAGCAGCAGGTTGGCTGGTGTTCGTAGTTACGAGTTTCCTCGTAGTGTTTGGACTCGTTGGCATTAACGAGTTGTCACTGAACGCTCACGAGATCAGCGATGTCGGTGCGTTCTTGTACGCGAGCTTCACGTCTGCAGCGTGGGCCGTGTGCGTGGGCTGGGTCGTCCTTTTATGTGCATTGAAACTTGCAGGTACGATATAATTTAAAGGTGTACTGGTAGAAGATGAAGCTAAGAATTAAGTTACTATCAATGATTGGACTTTGGGCCAGGACCATAATATAGAAAACGCTGAAGTACCGAAGGTTATATAATTTTGATGGGTACTGGTAGAAGATTAGCTAATAATTTACGTACAAAGCACGTACGATACAAATTAGATGTGTACTGGTAGAGGATGAAGCTAAGAATTAACGTACTATCAATTATTGGATTTTGGGCCAGTACCATTATGGAGAAAAGGCTGATATACCGAAGGTTGTGCGGATTTTAAGTTGAAGGTAGGATACAATTCTGATGTAGAATGGTAGATGATTCAGCTTAGAATTTACCTACGATCAATAATTGAATTTTGTGCCACACGTCCATTAGGAAAGAAAAACATTGATTTACCAAAAGACACAAATTATCATACAACTCTAAATCGCAATAATTTACGTCTCGATGTCTACAATGAAATTTAACTTTCAATCATAGTAATAGTCTTCGGGAATGATACCATGAAATCTAGTTATTTAAATCAGTATTCTATTCCCTCAACTTTGTTCGTAATTACTTCAGTTGTTTGTTATCTCGTCATTGTCATCGATGTTTGAAAACGAGTTTGATAAGCAGCCGGCGTCCCGTTTGGATAAGACGGGTGCTACTCATTAATGAATCTCATTGAAGCCTTTACACCGAATTTTCTAGAACGAGATGAAATCCTACGTATTGTTAAGTTGAATTTTAATGAATGGTTGCGTGATTTGAAGATAATTGCGACATAATAATTAATCATTTTATAAATAATTTGACGATTAATATGATCAGTGTGATGATATATGACTGATATGATAATTAGTATGGATAATGGAACTATTTATGTCTGAAAGGATGAAATATGTGTATAATACGATGAATTATATGCATAATACTATGCTTCGTGTTGATGATATAACAATTTGTATGCATATTATGCGCTTAAAATAATTTATTTCGAATATGATTGTAAATTTGCCGACCATCGCGGTTTTGCCAGGGCCCGTCAACGAGTTCTTGTCTCACCCGTTCTGGCAAGTGCCATGTCGTATCTCGTATCCAGTCTACCTCATCTCCCTGCCTGTCCAGAAATGGATCTTCTACTCGACCGTCCGAGACATCTACCTTTCCAACACGACCATCGTGAGTTGCCCACTGACTCTGTCAATATATTTTTTATACTGGCTCGCCGTTATATATACGGCTCTTTCAAATATATTCTCTTGCAATATATATTCTTCATATATATTCTTAAAATATTAAATGGTTCTTCCAAATATCTCTGAATATCTCTGACTCTCTCACGGTGTATGACGATAAATTTTATCATGGGAATTTTGAAATTTTAATTTTTTTTATGATAAAACATTACAATAAAGTAACAAATCTATACTACGGAAATATTCTTTCGTCGGATCGATATTTTACTGATAAAGTCAAGATTACAGAATGCCGTAGGTGAATTTATGCTTTAATAGTATTGAAATATAACAGAATGCAGCGAGAGAAATTAGCTTACATGTTATATTCGCTTACATGTTAAGTAACTGATAGTAATTCGATTATTTAATCAGTTGCTGAGCTACTGTGGGGTGCTGGTGATCAGCTTCATGTCAGCTTTCTTCATCAGCCTGATAGCCGAGGCCCCTTATATCAACATCACTAAAGTCATGGAGGGCAGACCGCTGCAAACCAAGAAACGATCGTCCTCTGTTTAAAATAATTCCCTATAAATCAGTGATAGAAATAACGAACGTTTAAAATCAAAGAATTGCTGACTTTTCTTAATTTTACAAATGGAGCGTAGGATGGTTCCGTCATCACTCGTGCTGGATATGGTATTTAGTTATAATGTCTGATAAGATTACACCGGCTACAAGAGACGTTCTACGAATTGTCCTAATGTAAATGCTATATATGTTATGACACGTTTTACTTAACCTTCTCAAATTTTCAAAATATTTACAAACAACACGTGCCACAGCGATTGATTGAATTTGAGTCAAGAAGGGTTGACTGATACAGTTTCAACTGCGGAAGTATTAAGGAACGACTTAAGTTAATGCAAGCACTTTTCACATCAGCTATTAAATTATTATTAAATGCAGTGGTAGGTTGCCTTAAAAGTACTATTTCTGAACACATCACGCAATAAACCAAACTATATCAAAAATATGACTGAGCCAAAATGAATAAGTGTGTTGAAAATGTTCTATTAGAGACGTATTATTTAGCACATTAACAAGAAATATGCAGTCCAATAATACTTGTTTATCCTCATGTAGCGTGCATTGAAAACGAAAATTAATTTCAACCCTAGAAATTTGCCATCTTCTGCTTCCCTTGACATGTAAGCAGCAATATCACTAACTGCATCGGATCGTTCACAGTATAGCAGCGCCCACGGTAGATGCAATTGGCTGGAAAACCCTTGGAAAGTTCTCAAAGCTTCACGTATTGGACAAATTTGAGCTAATTTCTTACTGTGAAACCTTTCCACTCTTGCTAACGAAGTGACGGTTAATTCTAAACCAATATAAGTTTTTCATCGCATGAACATTTCTTTAATTAAGGCTTGTGCCTGTAAGTAATTACCGATATATAGCACTAACAAAGAAATGTTCAAAACGCAATAATTATATATAAGTAAAGATAATAACTTACATGGTTATTACTCACATTGTTCGAAACTGAAGGATAAATAATTCAATTAACTTTTTCAGTTCTGCAAGACGAATCAACTTTTTGTATGATGATTTATGGGGTATACATTTTTTATGGTTTGAACATTTCCATCTCGCTCTAACAATAAATATTTAAATATCAGACGATCATCGAAGCCTTTCTATTGCAAAGCCAATCTGCGTACTTTTTATTCATAGAATAAAGTACAGTATACAATCAGAGAAATATAGACTCTGTCCAAATAGCGATGCACCTTAGCATCTTGTATGGCTAATCTTGACCCATTTTGGCTCAACAAAAGGAAATATCAGAGCTATCTACAGAAAGTATTTCACTTAATAGACAAAATTACCCATTAATTTTCATGAGTGCACGTTGATTGTGCGTAAATAGAGCTCAAGTTTGCAACTTTACGATTGGTGAGCAGTTAAGCTGATGACGGTGCGCTTTGTCTCGAACGTGTAATCAATCTCAGTTGAAAAAACTGCAGCGTCTTCAAATTAAACTCGATTGGCAAGTAATGCCTTTACTAAAATTAAAAAAAGTAGGTTTAAACCGGCAGCTAGAACTCCATCACCCGCGAGGGGTTCAGTCAGAAGTGCGCCGGGCTCGGATGCACATTACCCTTGTATATTGCACGTCCATCTTTATGGTTATATACGTCCCTTGTATATTTATTGCACGTCCATCTTTACGGTTCAAACCGTAGAGATGGACAGTAGTGAACCGTAGTGAACAACTTTTCACCGTAGCGACGTATTGCTGTTTCGCCGTCATATCTATTAGATTGACACCGTGTAAACTGTAAACCATCGGCACAGCTCGTAGTTGTAGCCTAGACCATCTTTACGGTTCAAACCGTAGAGATGGACAGTGTGAACCGTAGTGAACAACTTTTCACCGTATCGACGTATTGCTGTATCGCCGTCATATCAATTAGATTGACACCGTGTAAACTGTAAACCATCGGCACAGCTCGTAGTTGTAGCCTAGATCTAGACAGATATTTATGGGTCTGTCTCCCGCATGATCTCGAATACTGATCTACTCGCACTCTGGTTGGGTATACCTTCTTGCCAAAATTTTCCGACTGAATACAGAATGAAAATTCATGTTGAAACTTTGTGCGTCCGCGATCTTGCTCGCTCATAAATAACACATGTTAAATCACACAGAATTTAGTGGTAACAGATTAACTATTACCCGATATACTGAGTTATAGGCCCTCGAATCCCTAAATGTTTGATTTGTAACACATAATATGAGACTAAGATGGCAAATTTTTCCATAATACCGTTACGAGAGTCACTCTCATTGTTATTGTACATTACAACGTGTACTAGATAACAGAATCATGCTCGAATTTTACACTGAAATTTATTTATGAATGTCTGCTTTTTCAAATCAGGTAAAAAAAATCATGTGAATTATATTCTGTAAATATTTAAAATGATTCATGACAATTTTTAAGTGTCAAATTTTCGTTCTCTTCGGAATTTTATTTGAAGTTCTGTAAAAACATCAGTTAATGTATTGTGCATTAGAGAAATTTTCGAACTTAGTGATCTCACGGCGATCAATTTGTCGAATTAGTCAATATTACATTTTTAGAATTTATTCTCCGAAATTTTAATTAGAAATTTAACTGCCATACACACTGAAATTAATCTGCGAAATGAAAAATGAAACTAATCCTCGCTCATAATTGTAATTGTTTCAAAGTTCAGACTCGTACAAAGTACTCCTCTGACTCGTACAAAGCCTGCAGGGTACTTTAATTTACTTATTTTTACGTAACAGCCCGCGAATCTCCATTTCACCCAATTAAGGCGACTGTTTTCTGTTTTCCTAACTCGTTCGTTTGCTCATGTAGCTCTGTCAGTTCCTCTGAATTATACGTACTTTCGGACTTTTAACAGCGATTTATTTCGTCGAAACCTCCAGACTATTTAGGTTAACGAAGTGACAGTTTATTTTGAGCCAAAATATGCTTATAATTAGGCATAAATCCTTTTTTCCTTACAACTAAATATTAATTATATTAACAAGAAAAACTATTAACCAAAATTTGTCGCGATAAATAAGCTCATTCACGCTGGTTGCTTCTGACAATCAATGTAGAGTGCCATTAAAGAAACTCACATAACTTATTGGAATAAAAAACTAATGTAACAACTTTTGTGGTCATTACTTATGGTGCTCGACCGTGGGGTATGAATAATTTAATTCACACTTCAAGGTTCAGCTGATAAATTAACTTTAAGCCTGAGAGCAATTCATATGCATACGAATTTTTATTTTATATAATTTTTTAGAAATTTTAAATTTTTGTAAGACAAATTTCAAATGATCATCAAAACCTTAAATTGGGAGTAAGGCAATCTGCGTACTTGATATCCATGTCCAAACCTACATTAAATTGTGCATAAATAGAGTCTCAAATTTGCGGCTTGATAATTTAATAGCCTTTTGACTGATGGCGGAGCGTCTTAAGCATGCTATCATCCGCACTTAAATAAACTGCAGTGGAGCTGCCAAAAAAACACCACTGCTGCTAAAATGAAACTTGCACGAAAAAAATTACGAAAATGAAAAGAGTGAATTTGCGACATGGTGCTTAGACTCAATATACCCGCGAGCGGTTCAGTCATTAGCGCGCAGAGCTACGATACGCATTTCACGTTTGCAGGTCACCATTAATTAACTACAGATCTATCTTTACGGCTTTGAATAAGTAACCTCAGTTCTTAGGGGATATATTTTCTGCTGTCACAAAGTGAAAATGCACAAATGGTTCTCTGCGATTGAATTAGAGTGTTAACTGTAAATTTATCATTCCCATTTTTAAAATCGCAAAAAATTTGCCTACGTTCAGTTGTGACTTGCAACCTCTTTCTTGATGTAAGGCGTATCTTAAATGAGAATAGCATTGTGTAAACTCGGTCTCGAAAGTAGTGTAGGAGAACTTATTGCCATGAATAAGTTTGAACTTAATTTTACGAACTTGTACAGATTCGTGTAAGATCTTGAACGTCGAATTGTCATTGCGTTTTAGGCATCTTGTTTCAAGTTCAATATTATAGTAGACAATGGTTAATGTGATTTGCACGATTTTCATTTTAGATATTTTTAAAGTTATAGTAAAATTTCAATATCAAAACAAAATCTAAAAATCTCAAATCAGCATCATCGGTTCTTGACTAACTGTTTCGACTCCAGAAAAAACATTGAATTCCCTATCCATCTTTGTTAACCATTGTATCATCAATAACGGGTGTAAACGACAACCTTTAAGAGGAGATAGCGAATTGTCTTGTTACGGCCTACATCGCACCACCATGAAGATGTTGACGTACCTCGCCTCTTGCCTGATGGCGGCGTCAGGGGCGGGCGCCCTCATGTTGGGGGCCTTGAAGGCCTCGCGCATCACCGTCGGGGCCTTCGACTTCAACTATAACGGCTTGCAGGTAACGTTTTACGCGGTAAGGGATGCCTAGATTTTTATTATCAATAACACATAAGTCGCCACTCAGCTGCTACTGCACTTAACTCACCACTCATCAAAGAAAACCTGATATAATTCTTGTCAGAATTACGATTTGTGTTGTTCAATTGCAAGGAAATAAATAAAACGCTTTTTCGATTGCGCTAGAAAGTTGAGGGTCCGTTTGTTAGCAAAATATATTGTTTTTCTTGAAGGCTGGCGACATAAGTGCTGTGACGAAGTTAGTGGCTTTGACGTTAGTTCTCAGGATGCCAATTTCCAACGCACCGTTACATTAATTAAAATCCTTTCCACCTGAGAAAGGTTTATGTTATATATTGTGAATTGCATGGCGATCTCTTTTCCATACTTATCTTATTTATTATAGATTCAATATAGTCAGCACGATGGATCTCCAATTCCTTTTTTCTTTTGCAATTGACGGTGACTTGCGCTACAAAGCTCTCATCACAAATATCAATGGCGGCAGACAGCGTACGTATCCGTACGCAAAGGATCATTTCCTTTAAATATTATATAAGGGAGTTTAATTAAACTCAGGAGCTGCATGAATCTTATAAAGGTCTCTCTCGTTTGGGTTTGGATTTAATAACGCTTTCTGGCAAATTAGGCATTTCGAATTTATTTAAATATTTTCGATTGAAACTAGATTTTTTATGAAAACCTTTTAGGGCAACATTGTGCAATAAATATTTTGATGTTGAATGATGAATTTGTTTGTATGTGAGTGCACCGCGAATTCCGATAGAGTGATATCATATGACATTTCTTGCTTCTAATATGACAACGCACCGTTACATTAATTAAAATCCTTTCCACCTGAGAAAGGTTTATGTTATATATTGTGAATTGCATGGCGATCTCTTTTCCATACTTATCTTATTTATTATAGATTCAATATAGTCAGCACGATGGATCTCCAATTCCTTTTTTCTTTTGCAATTGACGGTGACTTGCGCTACAAAGCTCTCATCACAAATATCAATGGCGGCAGACAGCGTACGTATCCGTACGCAAAGGATCATTTCCTTTAAATATTATATAAGGGAGTTTAATTAAACTCAGGAGCTGCATGAATCTTATAAAGGTCTCTCTCGTTTGGGTTTGGATTTAATAACGCTTTCTGGCAAATTAGGCATTTCGAATTTATTTAAATATTTTCGATTGAAACTAGATTTTTTACGAAAACCTCCTAGGGCAACATTGTGCAATAAATATTTTGATGTTGAATGATGAATTTGTGTGTATGTGATGGCACCGTGATTTCCGATAAAGTGATATCATGTTACATTTCTTGCTTCTAATATGATAATTTCGTATATATGATTTTAGTAAGCATCATGGCCAAAACTCGAAGTTGTACAAGCTTTTTGCGCTTGTGAATTACCCCAACTTTGAAAATTTCCAATTTGAGTGAAACGTCCAAAAGCGAAATATAAGAAATCCTATGTCTTATATTTTATTTCATGGCTCTCGTATATTTTTTGATACATTTATTGACGATCTCCTTGTTTATAAACATCAAAATATTTCAACGTTATTTTGTACCGCGCATTTTCTAATGTAATTCAAGAAACCCGCAAACGTTCTCACTAAACTAAATTATTTATTAACATTTGACTTGTTGTCTCGCCCTCGCTGCCAGGTAACGAAGTACAATAAATCGACAACGGTGCAATGCGCAACGCGAGTGCTGGCGAATGTGAATGCGACGCCCGTGTTTTGCGTGACCAGCGCCCAGGAGTGCTGGCTTACGAACGCCACCTTCCCCGCCGGGTACGACAACAGCAGCGCTGCTGGGGCGCTACCACACAAGTGCTACACCACGATCAAGCCCCTCTTCGACAAGGGTGAATACGCAAGCTAAATTATTTACCTTTTTCGTTCATGAACTATGAGAATTTGCAGTTAATTTTTTTCTCATTTTGTCCCATGTTTTACTTAGATTTAACTCATCATATTATGCAAAAATCGTTCCGAATTTAGGTGAAAGCCCAAAGCACATTTGAATTTATCAGCATTCAATGTACAGTAAATACCTCTCGTATCTAACTAACCGTCTGTACAAGCAAAATTTGGTATATAAATGCTGAAAACCCAAACATATATTAAATGTTTTTCCTACATGTTTCTTGAATAAGAATTGAATTCAAGGATTGTAAAAATTTCTGGAATTTAATGTTCAGCCCATATTTAGATTTGATGAATGCGAAGTCATTAAGATTCCTTTTTTCAGCTGAAAATGCAGGACGAAAACGCTTAAAAACTCTTATTGTTAATCTATTCTAAACCAAACAACCCAATAAATGGTTATAATAATATAAATATGTGGATACCAGCTGCTGCCCTCGCCGCTTGTGGAGGGAACCCTTCTGGCTGCTGTCCCGCCCCGTTCGAGAACGTCACAAACGTGGGGTGTGTCTTCACGAGCTTCTGGTTCTTCCCAATGCTGCCGTTTGATGTAGCCAGGGCCTTCTGCAAGGGCATGTGGCCTACAGGGGACCTCTACTCTCGACCTGGTGGGACTATTGACTTCACGGCTCTCAATACTTATCTTGATCGTATGGGTAAGTATGAATTTTTACCGAAGTTCATAAGTCGTTTATCAAAGAAACTTGTATAGAACAATTTTTTGTTAATTGATCTTAAGAAATTCCTTCTTATCTCGATTAAATCTAAATATTTGGCTGTGAATCGAAAGTGAATTTGTGAGTCTTAAGCTAATCATTATTTTTCATTCATGACAAAATGGAGAAACGTCTAATTCAGGTTATGTGCGTAGAAGTATTATTTTATTTTACAGCGTTTGAGACCTATCTTTAAATAATCGGAAGGAGACTGGGACTCAATCATGAACATGTTTCTTTGTATTACATAAGGAGATCCAATGAAATTATCAAGTTTAATACTTTATTGATTAAATTAAGTCTTTACTCCATATATGAGCCGATACTTCAGCAATCTTGTATTTTTCACAGATTATTTTCACGAAAATGCTCGACTTTCGTCACATCAGATTTGGCTCAAAACGAATACTTTAAAGCATGCAATGTCGACGATCTACAGGTGTGGTGCTGGACGTGTGGGTGGGTGCCACCATGGTTGGGGTGGGTCAGTTTGCTTGGCCGGACGGTTCAGCTGTGGGTAGCTCAAACTACGGCTCGGTTCTCATAGTTCCCCAGCCGGACCTTACGGGATTCCCAGCGGGCGGGCCAGCTGGTTGCCTGCTTGTCATGCGCACATACGGAAACCAAAAGCTGGGTGATGACTATTGCATCAAGCCAGTGAATTACCTTTGCCACATTCCGTGATGCGTCGACAAACCGTCGTGGGCGACTAGAAGCTAACGTCAGCTGAATTTTGTTAGTAATATTTGTATTTGAAGTTTGACAACCGTTGCAATTTTAATCTTAGTAATTTCATTAACTACCGCTTTGTGGTCTCCTGTAATGCAACAATGAACAATGATTGGTTTACAAATTACATGCAATTTCCTCTTCCATTGACTATCTTACTAAGACCCACATATAACAATGAAGTCTGATTGGTTAACAGAATCCGAATTCAACATTAATTAGTAGTGATACCAAAATGGTTTTAAACGAGTGCCACCATGGTATTAAACGAGTGAGACCAAAATGTTTTTAAATGCGTGATACCTCGATTGGTTTTTAATGAGTGATACCACAATGGTTTTAAATGAGTGAGACCTCTATGGTTTTAAATGAGTGATATCACAATGGTTTTAATTGAGTGATACCACTATGGTTTTTAACGAGTGATAGCACTATGTTATAAACGAGTGATCTTGCCAATATTAATTCCGTATAATTAACAGGAATTAAGTGCGCAGTGTTGGCATTGAAATGGACATTAGGAATTAAACTATTTTGATGACACAAATTAAAAATACGCCATCAAGGCTGGAAACCCAATTTACATCTTCATCTACCTTAACTGAAACCTGTAATTTTGTGTTTACGTCCACACAGTCAACATTTTCATTCTGAATATTGCGTTTAGGTGTCAGTCTTCTTTATAAGACTTTAGGATTGAAAGCGACAGAAAGATTCACACGAAACTTTTATTCAAGACTCTGAATCGCAAGAAAACGGGGAATTAATTTTTTCTCTCTGACTCGACTCTACGGAAATGTTTCCATGTATAAGAATGCACGAATAATAGATATGAATATATACGAATGCATTAATTCGAGCACTTGGTTGATCAATATCTAATACTGAATCTATTCGTCCTCAATTTGCACAATATCATTGAAGTTGGATCCGAGCAATTTTTAAATGCATCTCTCGCACTTATAAGCGATTTTCTAATTCAATATACTCTATTTAATAGAATATAATGACTGAACAGCACACATTGTATTTGTCTAACATTAATTATTGAGAAAAAAATATTTACGAGCTCTGTTAAGTAGCGAAGATTGTTGCATTGTTCATGTAGTTTTTTAGTTCATCAAGAATTTTGTTAGTTTCCTTGATTTCATATCAACATCACTTCCAGCTAAAATATTTATTAATGAAACCTTAGAAATATTCAAAAGTTGATTAATTATTTTTAAACGAACTCCTAGATTATTTGAAGTTCATCTATTTAAAATTTCTTATAGAATTTTCGAGCAGCACTTACATTTTATGATTAATTTTTCATTCTTTAAGCACCTAATGATTTATTGAATGACGAAATAAAATATTCAATGAATCAAATTTATTACTTATACAGATTATATTTAAACCTGATATATTTAATAGGTTGATATATCGGAAAATTGTCTATGAATATCTACAAAGGTTGTGGCCTCCAAATTGCTTATTTTTACGCGACAATGTTATAAATAATTGTTAACCACTATATAATATGATGAAGTTACTAAAGTTACTTTTATAACTACTATAATGTGATTGAGCTACTATAGCTACCGTAATATGATGAATTTACTATAACTTCTATAATATGATAAAGTTACTATAATTTCAATAACATGGTGAAGTTACTATAACTACTATAATATGATAAAGTTACTATAACTGCTATAATATGATGAAGTTACTATAACAACTAAATGTGATGAAGTTACTATACCAACTATAACATGATGAGGTTTCTTACAACGAAAATAAGAAACCTAAATAGCATCCAGTGCCTGAGTTGATCATAAGTTGAGCTTCGCATGCCGACACGAGGTAGAAGTACTGAGGGGCAATAGAAAAAATTGGCCTCGATAGTTTTAATACCTGCATTTAGAACATAGAAGTTTCTGAAATGTATCACTATTAGCAGACGTTTGATCAATGACTATTTGCATTCCTAATGTCACTTCATCTGTGGAATATGCAGATGTCAGAAAGGGGCTTTTGATATACAATTGCTCGATCGCAGATAGTAAAGAAATAAAAAATTTATATTGCATATGATGACGTGCTCCACGGTTATTTCAATTGACGCACGTCTTGAGCGAATGATGTACAATTAGATTTCCATGCTTCTCCATTACGTGCAATAAATCAAACGGAACTCCTTGCGCGGCCTGAGCTCTCGCCATTTTACGAGTCGTTCTTAAGTTATAAATTTTAAATACAAGCGATTTGTGAGATCAATGCTGCTAGGTCAAGGGGGTGTAAAAAGTGTACCCGAATTTATATTGAATTGACTTCTTCATCATTTATGGCTGCCGTGTTGAACTTTAGCTAATGTGAAAAGTTTATCATAGATATTTCTATTTGTGTAATTATTCAGCCATGTATTTTTGTTTGAACACGTCATTATATATTAGACTAGGCATGAAATTTTCGTACTTCAAATTTAGTTCGTGAGAAGGTCGACCAAGAAGGAAAATTTACTTTAGTCACCGTAAATTCCAATAAACTCCTTTTTTCCTTTGGCACTGAGAAATATCAGGAGACCAAAATTTATCTCGATCAAAAATTTGTTGCTTGTGGTATTTTTGTTATGTTTAAGGTTCGAAGGAACCTACCAACTGCTAACTTAGTTATATTTTATATCTCGGGTTCCTTTTAATTGGGGTTACAGTAGCCCAGCACAAGTGCCACCGACCATGACTCACGCGGCGGGCAACCCACACCCCCTGAGCCACCCCACCCCTGATATTTATTATTATTATGTCCTAATTCTGTTATGTTGTGAAACATCAATATTAGCTCAGTCTTGAGCGGTTAGCTTTATTTGCTCTTTACATATTCATTATTTTTTTCTCATTTTTCTGATGGTCCCATCCCCCCGAGGGGGCTTTTTGGTTCGCTATAATAAAACATAATTTATGGGTAAAAAATTTTTTATTACGTCACACGGTTACATTACACCTTCAAACCCTTCAATTCATCATATGAGGTTATTATAGTACGAAAAGCCGTTTGGGACCAGGTTATACCTGTTATCGTCCTAGGAAAACCACTGGTAGGATACACATTACTATAGAATAGAATAGAAGTGTCGGCACTGAAGAAATAGGCCCATGGCCTGTTGCCTATAAGTCACATCATCATTAGTCGAAATCCACGGAGATTGACGAACCTGAATGTTATCAGTACCAATAGCAAATAGGGGAGCAATACGACGGTAGGTTTTAAGCATACACTGACCATTAGTGGGCAGGGTGGCCCAGTGGTTACAGTTCAGAATACCAAGATTGGCGCAGAGAGGCGAGGGTTCGATCCCAGCTCTGTGCACCAGTTTCTGGTCAGAATCGGCAAGGAGGCCGGGCGGTTAAGCACAGCAGAATTGTAGCAATGAGTTACGAGTTCGACACCGCAAAATGCTGTGAATGTTCTGCGATGTTAGGAATGGGCGACAGGCCTACGGCCTAATAAACGCTGAAACCGCCATTATTAATACTAACAATAGCATGAAAATTTTCTCCATAGCTCAATACTCCGCATAAGTAACGTCAGGATTAGGTTCCCAGACAACAATAAAAGGGACTGATGCGAAAGAAGTAGGAGTGTTAGACATATTCTGATTAAGCAGTAAATATTTAACAGACAATGCCCCTCATACGATATAGTACCTAATGGATGCCAAAGTAGTTTTACATTAGGCCAACCAACTAAGCTATATCTTGGGTCCCTTATAATATATATGGGACACGAGATATAACTTAGTTCTTGGAACTAAACGTTCTCGGCGCGAGCCTAAGTTATGTTGATGTAATCCCAAGCACGGGAATCCTTGTGAAAACCAAACACACGTCACTTCTGAGTTTGTTTTAATCTATAATCAGAAAAGAATTAGTAAGCAGAAGCGAAAACAGAGATATTTCAATAATATTTTAATCAAAAATGCATACAAATTGCATTGAGAAAAATTAAGTGTGGTTCTGGTCTCTGAATGGCCTGAACGGCCGAACGCGGTTCAACCCAGCGTTATTTGGCTTACATCGTCTATTGATCTTATTTTTAGCATCCCTCATTAGTCAACAATTTGCCTCCCATCGCTTCACATCGTGCGACTGCCGACAACCTGGACTTCAGCGCCGAGATCACTATGTTATGTTATGTTAACAAGCACCAGCTGAAAAAGAAGGAAAGAAACTGAAGTGAGAAGATGAAGACTTGAATTAAATAAAAATTGCTCAGTCCAGGTGTTACAAGCGGTCCGTGCATGACTTCTTCTACTCCTTCAAACCGTCATCAAATCAATCAATCAATCATTAGTCATTACCAACCTCAACATTGGTATAATGACATGCTGGGATTCATGAATACATGAATATTTTTTTAATAATATTCACCGTTGTAACCCAAGCTACTAAAAACAAATAATTCCCGAACGAATTTTACGGAATAATTTCTATGCGTTCCAGCAAAATTCATATTTTTTGCCTTCTACAAATGAAGTAGTCTAAAACTTGGATCCGGACAGGCCAAAATATCTCCGTGTCCAAAAAGGGCTCCGGGTTCGCCGCCGCCGGTGGCCCGGTGCAGGAATTGTTTCGCTTGCGGATTTCTACCAAGGGATTGGCGAAGGTGGCTTTTTCGCGTTTTTAGCGCATTTTCTCATTTATGAAAAAAATGCACTATTGACGAGTATTGTGCTCGCCATGTCCGTCTGTCCGTCCGACGTCCGTGACCTCAAGTTTTCGTCGACGAGAAAATGCGCTCTCTGTCACTCACTTCAGTGAGTACTGAGTTATATATATATATTTTTTTTTCGTTTATATCTCTTTGGATTGAGAGTTGCGTTTTCTTAGTAACGTTCTAGGTAGTAGCGTAGCGGCCGTAGCCCGAAGTAGGGCTTCTTGGACGAATTTCAGCAAAGGAAAGACCAACATCAC